ATGGTTTTTTTATCTATTTTCTATGAATTTTTTAAGTCTGAAATTTTCCCCCTGTGGGGAAAATTTCAGACTTGATCCGATATTTATAATATCAAACTCTAATTATTTGCATTTACTCAGAGCAGATATTGTATTGAATTTGCTATTTAATCCGTTTATGGATTTTAATAACCCCTCCTAGTATTCTCTTTTTGATAAACATGTTATCTATTTTAAAGAGATCACGAGTTTAGATATTTAAACTGAAGGTTATTACACTAATTTTTAACAGGAATTCACCACTTTTGTCTATCTCTTTTGCATTTACGATAAACTCAGACTTGTTAAGTTTTCACATGTTGAGTTAAATTAACAACATACTCTACTTTTTATGGTATTTTTGCTAATTTCATAACAAATTTTAATTTTTTGTTCATATTTTCATTAAAGTCCGTTTACAAAAATTACTTTTTTATAATAGAGAATGTTGACATAATTTACTGCTAAAACAAGGGTGGTGTTTAATCATCATCACTATCATAACCTTCGTTTTTGATTCTCTTAGATATACAATAATACTGTTTTCATTTTATTTAAGTTAAAATAGAGTTTAGTATTACCCATATATACTTTAATCCTTGTTTATACAATCAAATCTATCATTTCTAATATAAAAGGTTTAATAGATTTTAAATCTTTTATTAGTAAGTAATTGTGTTACCTAAACTTTATTCACTTTCATTATGGGGATCAAGTTTAGTTAAAGAAAACAAAATGTCAAATTAATCAATAATGATTGTTAAACATTTTTTAATAGAATCCCCAAAAAAAAGAATAAAAAATGATTTATTGAATACTGATTATTATGATGAGAAAGATATTAAGTACAATGACAGCCCTGAGAATATGGGTGAACATATCCGGCATCGTATAAACCAAGAGGGAGAGAGAGAATTAGCCTACCAACCCAAAAAATTGTTTTAGATTATATTTTATAAATATATTTTTTAAATTCATTACTATTTAAAGAATAAATTAAATACATACACTGAAATTTAAAATATTTTTAATAGTAATTTTAGTGGTTACAGTAAAATCCGACATTTTATTTAAGTGTTTTTACATTGCATATACAACTATGAACATTTTAAATAAGATAAATCAAAAACGTTTTGAAATAAAACTGTTTTCAATGATAGCGCCATAAAAACTTTAAAATAACTTCACAGATAAGTAATTTATACTTTACGTTTCTTAAATAGCGCCTTACACAAAATTATTTTAATTTTACCCCATTGTTACTCTTAGACACAAAGTTATTTATAAAATAAAATTCTTATTGATACATAAAGATTTTATTATACTACCTAAATGGTGATAGGTTTGCATTTTGTATTTTAACTCAATTAAAATTTTAAATATTTATCTTTATTAAAAAATCATTGTAATATTACCGAGTTGAATGTTTTAAAAAAATTATCCAAAACATATGTGGATAATTTTAGAAACTAATATCTATTGTAAGCACAATCAACCTTATGACTCTCATATAAAACAAGTGTAAAATTCACATTAATTTACTTTATATTTCAAAAAAACCTTTTTACTTAAAAGTATATTATATTAACATAAAATAAAAAAATAAATATCGTTTCAAACTCAGTTTTACATTATGATATAAAAAATCAGTTTTATTTTTATTTTATCTTCTTAAACAATATTTATATTTTCAATCTTTATCAACTAAAACTTAATATAATTAAAAATTAATTATTTTTATCAATTTTTTCCACCCTTAATGTTAACTTTTAAAAAGATCAGAGATGAAATTCTTAAAGAAATTTCTCTTTTTTCTGGTTATGAAGAAAAATTACTAAATAATTTATTACTATCAGATTGTAATGATAAGAAAAGTGAATTTGTTATATGGTTTACTAAATTATCAAATGAGAACATAGCAGAGAAAATTGCTGATAAAATCAAATTATCAAAACATTATTTGATAAAAGATGTACAAGCAAGCAATAACCGTTTGTCTATTTATATTGATAAGCGTAAATTACTCTCTAAAATAATAAAAACCATTGAAGAGGAGAATGATCAATTTGGAACCAACACAAACGGTAATAATAAGAAAATAGTAGTTGAATATAGTAGTCCAAACATAGCTAAGAAATTCCATG